CGCCACACACCTCTTCTTCTTTCTCTAAAAAAATCAATAAACATATCCTCAGTAAGGATTTAAAAAAATCTGGTGGGGAATGTGAAATTCTCTTTAGCCTTAATAAAATCGTAATAGACTTAGAGATTAAGCTCAAAATGCTCCCTCTTGCAAATCTCTTGTTGAGGCCATGTAGTGGAATACAGCAGTATTTTTCCAAATTTAGTTCCTCTGATATTTTCTATTTAATGTTTCATTTTTCTTTAAATGGCCATCAAGACCCCAAAACATATATTTCATGACCTGCTAGTGTGGTCATGCCTATCAAGTCAGAAAAAACCAACTCTAGTGTCACCTACCACTAACTAGCAGACAAATCTTGGGCAAATAATTTGCTGAGTAGTCAGGATTACTTAGATAGCCTCTATGACCTATGAATGATTTTTAAAACTGGGCAGGGAGCCCCAGCCTGGTAGCTCAGTTAGTTAGTGTAGTCCTGATAGGCCCTCCAAGGTGTCAGGTTTGATCTCTCATCAGGGCACATACAAGAATCAACCAATGAATGCATAAATAAGTGGGACAACAAATTGATGTTTCTTTCTCTCTCAATAAATTTTTAAAAAAACATAAAACTGTGTGTGGGGGGGGATGTTTAGTTTGTTTTTTAAGAGCGCATTCTTTTATTTTTTAAAATTTTTTTATTGATTTCAGAGAGGAAGGGAGAGGAAAAGATAGAAACATCAATGATGACAGTCATTGATTAGCTGTCTCCTGCACGCCCTTCAATGGGGATCAAGCCCACAACCCAGGATGTGCTCTGACTGGGAATAGAATCCATGACCTCCTGGTTCATAGGTCGATGCTCAACCACTGACCTATGCTGGTCAGGCTTTTTTGTTTTACCCAATAAGTGTTCAAAGTGTACATATGATCAATAGGAAAAACAGGAGACAAATAGAATTGATTTTTCTCTGAAGTTGTTTATAGGAACGGAAGGTGTTGCTCATCCTGGGGCTCAGTGATTAACATATTAGTAATCTGAGGACTTATGATCTTGTTCATCTGGCCCACTTGTTTCCATCCTTCAGCCATTCATATTCCATAGAGTTTATCAAGCTTCTTAATATAGGTACTCTGGAGTTAGGAAAACAGGATATGTTTAGAAAAAAGATTTTATCACTTAAAAATATATGAAAATCCAAACAGCTGAGGTGTTGGGGGCATCAGTCCCAAAACCCTGTGTAGGTTTTATGATTTGGGTGAAGTGGATGGAGAAGTGCTGAGATAGGAGAAGAGCAGACACCCTGATTATATCCAGTATTGCTATTTCCCAGTATGACCCTCTTAATTTGTTCATTTTTAAGGGTAAATCTCATCACTGCCAATGTACTGTTTCTGAGGGTCACTTGCATCACAGTTAACTTGAGCTGAGTGTTTAAATACAGATTTCAGGGCTTTAACACAGACCTGTTGAATCCAGTTTTCTGAAGAGTGATCGTAGGAGTCTACATTTCAACATCAACCTGAGGTGATTCATGTGCACACTGAAATTTTAAATACTGATTGTATAATGTTTAAGGGAGGAAAATTAAATCAAGTGTTCTTTGAAAGTACAGTTATAACTTCCTTTCCTCCATCTAATTTGGTTGATTAATAGCAATACCATCCTTCACTCTACCTCTGCCCACCTTTTGTTGCCTCCATCTTTGCCATCTATTCATACCCCATTGATTAGTGCTAAACAGACTTCATTGAGCAGAACACTTTGCCCTGGTTATACAACTGTTTAAAATACAGAAGTAATTAACATGTGTGGATGGCCAGGGGGCAGCAACTGTCATCACTTGACACCCATGCTCACTTACTCCGTATTTGTCTCCTTCCTTCCTATGCTGG